AAGAAACTGGAGTCACATGAGTTCAGACACAGAACAAAGTCTGCAACAGACCACAAGCTACATGACAACCAGTAAAAGGGACTCCTATTGTACTCAATCCAAATCAAAGGCAGCTTGAAGAGAAAGAAGGAAACTGCAAAAAGATACTTGTCTACCATATGCTAAGATTTAGCCAGCCACGATGCATGACATCTGGAAGTTTATTTGTTGTTGAAAATTTCACAGTTCAACATATTTAACTGGAAATGTTTCTCATTTCCTGTAGCACAGGTTCTAGAATTAAAAAGCAATTTGGAGAAAGCTGTCAGATGGGGTCATACTGAAAGTATTACTGTAAATTCATTTGGTGAAGGTGCTCTAATTTATTCCAAGATATCAAATGCTACTGAAGAACACTGAAGGCTCATTCAAGTAAGAACATACTCTAATTACAAGGACAGGGCAAACTCTGGGCTGTAGCCAACTAAGTTCATACTAACTTAGATCTAATCATTTCAGTAGCTCTACTCTCAGTAGAGTTTACTTGGATACAATCCTGTTTCTTCTTCCTCCTCAGGTTCAGATAAGCACTAGTCTAAACTATGATGGAGTACCTCATAGTTAGGTTTGCTTCTCTTGTTGACTGAGACCACTTACGACACATGGGGTGAATTCACAACTGAATCTACTCTTCACCTGAAGTCTGAACCTGCTCTTAGATCCTCACCTGCTGGGTCTTGAGAACTAGGTTCATGTAACAAGAATCTATTGTTTTTCAAGTCAAGACAAAAGAAGAAAGAAGAATTCACTAAAAATAAAAAAGCATCAACATATCAAAGTCCAGCTAAAATTGAAAGTGCTTTAATTATTTCAATAGCCCTGTTTTGATAATGAGGGGTTAGTAATGCCAGCTCCCGACTGATTTAGGTAAGGGGCCTAGATGAGGTCCCTCTCAGAGAAATGAAGCAGCTTTGAATCTAAGCAGATCCATGGCCAACTCTGCTCCCCCCCCCCCCCATTTCAAGGCCCTGTGCTTTCTACCGCCAGTGAGGCCACCACCGTGCTAGCTTTCCACTTGCTATGTTTTCCATGGGTGGAGACAGCAAGGTCAGCAGACGGGCATCTAGCTGTCACCAGCAGCACAGATCAAGAGGTTAAGATACCTCTACAAGCCATTTACAGCAATCAAACCCAAGGTAATGCCTTGTTTTATATCTGATTTAAAACCATACATATTTTATGGGACCTAAGAGTTCCTATGAGTGGAGTTCTATTCATGGGACACTCCCTCTGGGCGTGAGCCAAGTTTTGCAAATTTCTCCTCCCTCCTGCAGCCAGCCCCCTGTAAGCTGCTCCACAGTGTTACCAGAACAGCACAGAAGGTGAGGCAGGGGCTGAAGGAGGAATCAGCATAAGCTGCCTCCTCCCCACTCAGTTCTTTCTGCGGATGGGACACTCTGGATCCATCCCTGGAACTGCCTTCCCAAAACCTGCCCCAGCGGGTTGGGAAATCCTTTGGACAGAAGAGATTTACAGGTGTGGAGAGATCAGCAGAGAAGGAAGGAGAATTGATGAACACTGCTCCCCTTCCTATTCTGTTGACAGACACCGTCATCAGAGCAACACTGTTGGACAGAATTAACAAGCCTTTTAAGTAAAAGTTTAAAACAATTCAAATATTGGTAAGAAAGGTCTATCTTATTATTAGACTCTTTGAACCTTTCTAATGCAGCAAAAATCCCAAATAAGTTTAGTTGGATCCACCTATATGAATGATGGCTAATTGATGCCACTAGATAAAATTGTTTCCTATGGCTTATATGATTTTTCTGTGCAACAGGGATTCCCCAACACTTTAAATCCCTTTCCCTCCCCAAGTATAAAGTGCTCTATTGATTTGGATGATTGTGGAAGAAATCAATGGGTTATATGCAACTAAATCACTGCACATGCAGAATGACTTCCATGACTTCCCTTCCCTCTCCTCCCCTCCTCCCAATCTGCTCTGAAGGCCCAGGGGAACTCCTGGAGCTGACTGGGAGTGCTGGGGGAGGAGGGCGGGTTCACAGAAGTCATACTGTATGTGCAATGATTTAACTGGACACAATCCACACTTCCTATTTATACTCAGTATATGACATATTGCGTATAACCAAACATGCACAAAGAACATGTGTGGGCAATCAATGCATTACGAAACTAAACTTAAATCCCCTGAAGTGAACTTCAACCTCAAAATCAGATGTTACATCTGAAATAACCCTGCGCTACAATATTTTAATGTGAAATTGGTATACGGTCTCAATTGTTAGTTTTACAAACTTTTAAAAGTACAACAGAGTTTCCCCATACGTAGAACTCTATTCTAAAACAGGTATAAAAACAAGCAGAATTAAAATACTATGTAAAATACTATGTACACTGGAGGCATCCCAGGATAACCCTGTCCCCCACACTAAAGTCATCTTGAAGGTTGCTTATAAAAAAAACAACCCATAGCAAATTAAAACAACCAACACAGTGAGTCAAACTGTTGCAAATAAATAAAAACGGGGAAGATGTATCTAGGATGGAATGTCCATAATTTGTGTTCCACTGTGGAGAAGTTCCTCTTTTTACTGCCTGCTTTGGTCATGGTATCTGCAGCACCTGCACATACCCACCTCTTCTTGGCACTTGTCCAAAAGAACACCAAACTTTTTAACATCCCCCAAGTTTAAAAAGCAACAGGAATTTTGCAATAATTTTTTTAAAGGGACTCCCAGAGGGAAAATACCAAGTATACACCACAGATAGATGCTTTTTGAAATGCTTTCACCAGATTCCCAAACTGCTTTTTAAATTAAAAGTGTTTATGCCACTTGTTTTTATAAGCATTATCTAACAACTGGTGAGAGAAAAGCAGGAATATGTCACTCTTTTCTGAGTCATTCAAATATATTATGCTTATTAGGCAGCTGGGTAGCCATAAATATCATTCAGATTGGATAACTAAATACATTCTTGTATACAAGCATTGCTAGCAAGGTTTGTGACCTGATAGTAAAATGCAGGCCAAGCTTTCTGCCTCTCTTGTTTTTGTTTTTTAAAGCATTAAAATGAATGTTCTGGGGGAAAGCCTCAATTTACTCTTATGTCTACTATGAACACTTGAGAATTCTTAAGTTAAATTCACTCTAATGAGATCAAACTTGCTTTGAGAAAACAAACTGTACAAGTTAAAATGAGACCTTTTTCTTCTACCAGTCAGGGACCTTTGTTTTAGGGCTGATCAAGAGCTGGAGAACATCTCCTAGTACCAATTTCTGATCAATATGAAAAAAAGCATTTAAATCATATAAATTTATGTTTTAAGAACAACACAAATAAAGTATTTAATCAAACTTATACTGTAAAATACCTTACTCACATATAAACTGGTAGAGCATTTTTGTTTCACAGAAAACCTAGTCTAATTGCCATTTAAAGAAGTTGAAATTCAAGACAGTCCAAGGAACAGAGTAAAAAACAAAACATGGAAGATCAAATAAATCTGAAAATAATTTTTAATTTAAAAGCATCTTCTGAAAAGTACCTGCTAGGGCAACCAGATGCAAGAGAGAATACAGCTCATGCACCTTTAATAGTTTTGCAGAAGAGAGAAGTTCTGCAGGTGTAGATTGCATGATAAGGTACACCAACTAAAATTCCTTCTACGCAGTTGTTAAAAATGCAGGAAGGGGCCTTTGTCCTCTTTTGCATCTGGCTGTCCTATTATCTGCAAAGCCAAATTCCTATCATTCCTGCCAACATTGGGAAAAAACACCCTAGGAATCATCATCATCATCAATCTTTATCTCTAAACAAACTCAAGGGCCTTTTCACATATGTATATAGATACTAGGAATGGGCCTCTTGCAGTCTATAGAAGCTCCTTTTGCAACACAGAACAGTGTCTTCTAGAACTTCAGTTGAACACAATTTACCATTTTAAACATAGGAAAAGGTCAGTGAAACTATTACTGCTTATACTAATTGAAAATGTCAATTTTTCCCCACCCACCCTCAGCACACTAATGTGCAAGCCTATCCTAAAATATGATTACACCTTCCCCTGCAGTTGCCAGCACCACATCTCACACAATTCCACAGGCAAGTGGTATTGGGGATTACAGTGAGAAGGATGTAATTGACAAAAATCACCTCCCTGCTCTCCACCAGAAGGAACCCACTGCTGAATCCAAAGTCTGGATCCAGCCTATGGCTTTGATGAATAAAACCTTAAGGTAAGTCAATCTTTGAAGAACTTACTGTAAAATGCTTTTGCAGTTCATGCGAGAACTGCAGGTCTAATGCAAACAGTGCACAGAATTTTATTCTGCCATACTTATTCATTTTAAAATATTGATTGTTAGCACGAAACTAAGTGCATCCTTCAAATAAAAAAACAACAACTTTAGGGTCACATGAGGAGTATCAAATGAAACCTGTAAGAGCTCTCAAAGTTAACAGCAAAAATATACTGAGGCAATGTTAATCAGAAATAACAAAGCTTTTCAGTACAATGATTGCCCTGCATTCAGTCTATTTTTTCCAATAACTTCTCAATGCCATCTTTCCAATACACGATCATACACTGTATCTACCTTCTGGCAAGCTGACTGAACGTTCACTAATAAAAGTGTATCTTACTCTCTATTAGATGAGAAGCCGGTTGAGAAAATATTCTTTTTTTAAAGCTGTGAATCTGAACCATCAGACACATAAAATGGTACCGTAGCACGAATTATAAAGTGGCTCTGCCATCCTAAATTAATAAAGCATTGTTCAGTGCATTTTGAAGCAATCAGATGTGATACCCTCTTTATAACGTTGGATCCAAACTGGGTAAGCTTCGTATACAGAAAATATACTGTATATACTGCTTTACAAAGACCAAATAAAAAATAAAAAAAATTAAGAAGACGAAGCCATACTAAAAACATATTTATTTATACAGGAAACAGGTATAGGACTGAGTCTATAAATAATCTGCATCTAACCTGTTTCTGAATCTTCACTGTCGGAGGAGCTGGACTCACTGGTACTCTCAGACTCTGAGGAGGAGAACCCCTTCATTTTAGAGGAACCAGCAATTACATCCACTTTCTCTGCTGCAACAAGATAATAGCACAATATTGTCATTGGATAAGAATATAATCCAGAACCCATTCTTGTGCTATGCAGTATTCCCCTTAAACACTATGGCCTTGCTACTCTTTTCCCTGTGGAAGATTTGTGCATACGGATATGTTTTTAACTGGCCTAAATGAAGCAATACTTTCAAAAGGGCAGGGAGAATGTGCTGCCATGCTGTCCTTTTTCTTTCCAAGGCTTCAACATAAAACATGTAGAAGAAAAGTTTGCCTTGTTATATAGTCCTTTAAAAACAACGCAGAATTAATGGGACTCTAGATACAAAAAAGGAAACCTTTTAAAAACTGTCAGATTTCTCAAATAGTAATAACTACTTCAAAATGCATTTATTTTCTGCTGTACACCACTTTTAGAAAGTTTGTCCTTTGAATAATGTGTATGCGAAAATAGTCAATTATTAATACAAAAACTTTTAATAATTTCCAGCAATGGAGAAGTATCATAGAGCCTTGGTTCATTGCTTTATAAGATACCAACCTATGGTCTTAGAAATATTATCTGCAACTAAAAAAAAGTTTTTGTGTCTGGTTGTGGTGAACAGTCTCATAATAAATAGAACATTCATAAGTTTTACAAAACAGTTAAAATAGGCTACAATGGCATAAAATAGAAATATGGTATGTTTTTATAGCTGTTTAAAGAGAAAATATTTGTAATATATTTATAAACTGAGGAACACTATGATTCAATGGCCTGTATCATAGGCCATCAAGAAAGTCCAGTGATAACATCTAATAATCTGTTCTTTATTACTAATCTAATCCATCATTTGCTGGAATGGCTGCAACCCCGGAATGAAGGATGCTTTTTCCTTGCATGAGTTTATAGTGCCTGAATACTAATATGTTCCCCCATCTCTCTATACAGTGGCAAGAGATTTAATACACAGCGCTGGAATGTAACACAACTGCTCTGAGCTTGAAAGGTACCTTGAGGTTTCCTCTTTTTCCGTAAACAAGATGTTACATATCTTTCCAGCTCCCGCAATGTGGACGCCTTTAATGTCTCAAAGTCAATTTCAATCTCATCAGGATTGGAGTTTTTCAGCGTGGGTTCTCTTGACTGGATGATATGGACAACCCGGCCTAGTTTTTCGCCAGGGAGTTTGTTAATGTCCAGACTCAACTGTCTCTTTTCTTCGTAAGACATTGGTTTACATTTCTCCTCCTCCTCAGACTCATAAGCAGGAGGTGGCTTGGTGTTCTTCAGAGTCACAGGCTCCTTCTTACTACTTAAAGAACAATTATTAATGCATTATTTTACAAAACAATGATTTTAGACCGACAGCAAAATGCTATTCTAAAGTGTGTTGTTAATTATGTTTGCAATTTGTTAGCATTGTCTACTATATTCTGAAATCTGGTATAGTCAAATGCCTAATAATCTAAGCTGAAAGTCAATAACTTTATAGTTCAAATCTTACCTTAGTTATATAGCCTTACTAGGTGGCCTTAGACAAGCCATCATCTCATACCCTCAATCCACTTGCAATTTGGAAACAATAATGACCTCTTTTCCAGAGTTAATGTAAGGATACCAAGATAATATATATGAAAATCACTGAATACTAAGGGGGAATACTAAACAGTAAAAGTATTACTGTTTCAGCAAAATAACAGTACATATAAAATGACATATAGCAAAAGAAGAAAAAAATCACAGGGGCGCAACTCATATTTGCAGAATGCAAAAGCAATCTTAGTTTGTTATGAAAGTGGGTAAGGGAGGAATAGCATAGATAATGATGTGCTATATTTGCAATAGAGACTACACTCTTGAAGGTGCCACAGCACATTAAGGAGATGACTTAAACTGAGTATAGAAATTAGGTCATCACCTGATAGATATCCAGACAGTTCAAAAAGATCCCCCAAGGGAGGGGCAAGAATGTCAGCTCCCTGCCTTGAGGTCTAGAATGTTCCTGGAGTGGGCTCTGTGCAAGTGCAAAACCCCATGAGTGGGACTGCACAGAGACCCAAAAGAACCACTCAGTGGGACAGAATTTGCTCCACACCTATTTACTCTCTATACTTCCATTTGCTCCTCATAGCAGTTGGCAGCTCAACATTATTATTATTTTTTTTTAAGCTAACTGTTAATTATATTTAAACCTAAACTTTGTTTCTGGGTTTTTTAAAAACATGTAGTCCTATTCCACAGTGAACACACACATTTGACAAAACTCCAGGAGCCAGTTCAGAGAAATTTATGTCTTCACTCTAAAACGGAAAGGCATGCAATTCTCACTGGGTGATGATCTCTGCATCTTAAAATATAAGCCTTATATAAAACAAATATATCAATATAAATCATGGGTTGCATCCAATGTTTGTTATGCTCAGAATAGATCCACTGAAATAGACCCATAGAAATTAATGGACATGTCTAAATTAGGTAGATTAATTTCAACCTCAGCCTCATAATTACAATTTCCCAACACAGCAGTTTGTTCAAGGACTGCTTGAAATGATTTTACTGATACTAAGGTTTTCTAACATGCAAAAAGTCCTCAATTGCTCCTTAAAATCTAGAGCGCAAACTGGGGACTGCTGGAGTAAGCCTTTGTATCAGGTAAAGGATCTGCTAAAACCAAAATCCTGTACATACTTAGTTTTCCTAAAAGCCAAGAAAGCTCAAATAAATAGTAGTGCTTTATAACTAGAGTTTTACTTTCATAATACTATATGGTTGAAAATAATGTGAATTCAACTAGAGGTTTTAGATATTTGAAGTATTGGAAGTTTTGCCATAATCCTGACAACACACTTGTTCTTCAGTCCAAACAAATCAAATAAACTATAGATTTGAACACAGAAGGCTGACCTTGAGTTACTGTTACTGCCATTATTTTTCTTGGCCTTCTTAGGTGGTGGATCCTTGGTTTTATTTTTTTTATTCTCTTCTACTTCTTCTTTCTTTTTGTGCTTCTCCTTTTTCTTTTCTTTCTTGTCTTTCTCCTTCTTCTTTGGTTTGTTCTGTTGCGGCTGGGACAGGGCAGCCAACTGCTCATGCACTGCTTTAAGCTAAGGAGTGGACATAAAGATCAATACAATTTTGTTCTGATCTCTTCATTTTAATCTCCCCTTGCAACAACAACAACAAAAAGGGGGGAAAGTGCTGATCCCTCTGCTTACTTTGGTGCCCATCTAACTGCTTTTTTACTAAGAGTTTTGTGTGTAATGTTATCAAGATCATCCATTCTACATGTCTATTGAGCAGGAAAGGAAGAAACAAGGAAGTGTTTAACTCTAGTTGCTAAAGCAATTAAGACAGCCATGGAAGGTCAATATTCTCCATGCTTCTTCTCTCCTCACATCATATCAACAGCGCAAAGAGTGTGACTCTCAGGCTTCAACAATTTTACTCACAAAGCAAAGTGTGGTGCTGTCCATAGTCAGCAACCAATCCTGCCTTTCAACTTTGAAGCTAAAAAGGTGGGCAGAGATTGTCCCAGCAGCTTTCTAGCTCCAAAGTTGGAAAACTCAGTCAAACAGGCCACTCAAAAATTATAGACCCAAAGTGATTCCAGACTCTTTTCGCACTAGAATTCAATAGTACATACAAGAGGAATGTGTGAAAGTAAACTCTGCCTGATTCTTTTAAGTAAAAGTAAGTCCTGGGATAAAAAGCTCATGATAACTGGCTATAAAGAACATATGTTCACTTTTCTCCCTTCTCACCTGCTACAGATCTGAGAACTTCGGGTTCTCTTCCTCCTTTGAAGTCTCAAGTTGCAGGCTTGCAAAATAATGAACTCCAATGTGGGCCAGAAGACCAAGACTTTGCACATGGTTGGGTATACAGGGAACTGAACAGATCCTTACTCCAAACCTGAAAACTGCAGTTAAGGGGACCAAAGGTGATGCAGATTCTGAAGCATAAATAGACTACCTGTTCCTGGAGCTCTGCTAGCCGCTGAGCTCGTTCTTCTTCAGAATCGTCGGATGAACTGTCACTATCAGAGGAGCTGTCACTGCTGCTATCACTGGATGAAGGTGGGGGCACTTTGGGTGGAGGCTGCACCACTACTGGAGAGGAAGCTGGAATCACAGGTTCTTCAGGCTCATCTGGCATTTTAGCAAAACGCATCTCGAATACATCCTGGAGAAATACAATAAGCAATATATACATTAATCCCCACTCGGCAACCACCTTTACGATACTACTTCCCCCAAAGTGGAATCACCAGTGGTATCCCTAGTTCCAAATGCAGAGAGGCAGTCCAGTAGGATACCATGCTCAGTGGATACAAGCCAGAAGACTCAATAGAATCACATTCCTCCTCTTTCCCCACAAAGTTTGTCAACCAGGTTTTGAGCTTTTCTCAAAACTAGGCCTCATGTCCGAGGCCCTACTGAAAAATAAATGGTGTACGCATATTTTACAGATACATTTTTTGCCTAGAGTAATGTATATATTTGGTGCTTATAGTTGCATGTTTTATGTTAGTTTATTATTTCAGTATTTTCTTCCGATAATTAGATTTTGTTGAACTCTTGAAAAGTAACATTTTAATACAGAACTTAATTTTAAAGAAATATTTTCTTTACCTGCAGTTTCCGTGCCATAGCAACCACCTCATGATCAGGAGGATTATACTTGTAACAATTGGAAAACATCAATCTGACATCAGCTGCAAATTCCTGAGCATCTCTATAATCCCGGTTCTCCAGTTTCGACTACAAATGTAAAAAAATAAAATTCTGCCATTAATATTTCAAATACAATATATGAAGAATATGGAACAATGAAACCAATATTTTGCACTTCTATCACGTGTCTGTCTGTCTGTGGGTATATGCACAAGGAAGCTACAGCAAGATTTATTACAGGCAATGGTTATACTTTAGAGGTGTTTGCAGTACCGTGCAGTAAACTACTCTTTACAATGCTCTGAAATTTCTCACAACACTCAATGTTGTGGGGAGCAATCTATTATAGGACATGTGCACTAGCACAGTAGATCCTTGAAAGGTATTTGCCCAGTCTGGAAAGAAGTCTAAAAAGCAATTCATAGAATGTTGGCATTCTTACTGCAGAAACATAGAAATCTTTAAGTAATAAGTTTTTAAAATCCCATAGTTATATATCCTCACTGTCTTTGGAAAGCCGGCCAGATGCACTGAGTAGCACAGTGTAAGACTCAGGAGACTGCCTCTTCCCAGCAGCCAGAAGGGGCAGCTATTGCAAGAAACAAATAGGGATAAGAAATAGAGTAAGATCTCATCTTTCCTCACCTACAGGAGTAGATTACTTGAATAGTATTTGCACTACAGCTGCATGTTAAGTTCTTTACTATGCTAAGAAGATGGATGTTACCACTATAAGGGAAGGTCAATGAAAATCTGGGTTGGCCCTTCCATTAGTGATCAGGCAACTGCAAATTACACCACCTGAAGCCCATTGCTTACCTCTCTTGGCTGGCCCTGCTCCTGCCTGTTCGCTGAAGCTCTCTCCTCCCTCCAGGAAAGACTAATGGAGGGGGGCGGAGTTACATCTCTCAGAGCAAAGCATTTTGGGCAGAGTAGCCATGAAAGTGCATGTGCTGCCATGGTTTGTGGTGGCAGCTAATAATACCTAAGACTGGAGGGAGTTGCAGTAACTTTAAGCTCCCTGATTCCATTTTTAGTATCATTAAGCATTGCAGCAAACTGCAGCACCACATGTGTTTTCATGGTCCCCCACCCCAATCTCAGATTCATTGTTCGGAGGTAAGGATCCCTCCAGGTCCTTCCTAGAACTAGGCAGGGAGGAAGGAGGTAAGAGCTGGAAGCCTTGTTGGCGCCGCAACAGAATGTAACTACATGTGTGAGTGAGTGAATGTCTGTATGTCAGATCAATGCATCCTGAAGTAGCAGCAAAAAAACAAGACAGAAAGCCAAGGGGGGGGGGGCAGGAGAGGTGCTATAGCCAGCACAGCAATGAAGAGAATGGGCAACAGCAGCTTAGGTGACACAATCTCTTGCACCTACCCTGATACGAACTCAGCACATTTGACAAATAAAACTACACATAGCATCTTGGGGAAATTTCGTCCACAATGTCTCCGATGTATGGAATAGCCACATTAATACAGGCAGCCAGTGCACTCTTGACCATGTTGGTGTGTCTATACCACCCCCCAGAAGTCTAACTTATGAAGAGACTTTCTTTTGCATCAATTCATCCTCTTTTCCCTTTAGCAAATTTATTCCTCTACCTACCTATTCTTTTCGGCACCAAAATTATTAACAAGATTCAATTAATTAATTTATTCCTCTTCTTCACATCAAATCTGTCTTAATAATTACTTTTAAAAGCAGACCTATAGCTCTGACAAGAAGCCTGGTTTACAAAAACAGAAAATGTTTACTTCTCTGTAGTTCATCCTCATTCCCCACTTCCACACAGCAAAGCCTTAGGCACAGACAAGGTGACCAACTAGGAACTCCACAGCCCTAAGCTGAACCTGACAAAGAAAAAGCCAGAAGAATTTCTTCCTGTATTAATTTCTATATAAGCAGCACAGCCAATGAAGGTCAGTGGAGTAACCAAAACGAAACCCCCCCCCAATTTTATGGATGAAATGACTGTCAAACTTAGTTGCTGCAGTGTTACACTGATAGCATCAGAAAGAGAAACTGTAGATGAAATAGCTGAGCTTGGAAGTCAATAATGGTGCTACTGGTATTAAATAAGACCTTATGTATGGCTCCAGTCTGAGCAACTCTGCTAAGAACAAACTTGTGTGCCTCACCTATGTTATCCTTCAGAAACTGACTCTCTGAATTGCTATGACCATTTAATTCTGCTTCTGGCCCTCTAATGCTTAAAATCCAACCATCTACCTGTATTTCATCACATTACATGCCTATGGCTATTCAGCCTTGTAGTTTCTGCTTTTGGACTTGACCCATACTTGCCTTGGTACGTACCCTTTGAGTATGTGACAATGTGGTATACCCATTAGATGGGGATGGTGACTACTTTACCATAGTTGTGCTATATCATAGAAAGCATGGCTTGAACCATAAACAGGAGCATTCCACATGGCAACATTTTGTCGCAAGTCTTATTATGTATTAATACTGAACATGTGTCATCAGAGTCCTATACAGCTTTAAATCCAATTCAGCCTTTCAACTCATTAGTGAGGCATCATCTCCTAATCCTTCTACTTTTCCCTTTTCTATTCCGTCGAGAAAGTTGCCATTATTTTCTGCACTAACAGGTGTACAAAACCTATTTTGATTTCTAACTACATAGCTTTCCCACTGTGCTACATTATATATTAATTGACGGTGAGATCTAGAACACCTTCTGAGCATCTGTGCTCTGCCTGCCAAGAAAACTGTCCCCCAGCTCCACCCTGGTAGTACAATTGCTTGCACATTTGCTGCTGGTTCTGGAAAGTCCTATGGTAGCAGCATACTAACTCTGAGCAAAGGCTACAGATAGGAGAAGTCCCTTCATGGTGGGACTGAAATTGATATGAAATTAATAACCTATTTGTGGTGACGCTGAGAAGTCTGACTATAGGGAGAAGCTCTTTCACTGTAAGATGAAAACTGCCAATGGTTTCTTAATCACTTGCTAGTGTCACTTCCACAGTAAAGATAGTACTTTGGACTTGCTGAAGAGGAAGAAGAAAAGCTAGTCACTTTCACTGTTACTTTTTGCAGCCTCTGTAGATATCCCAAGGTTGATCAAGATTTGTGCATCTAACTGCACCTAGATTTTTCACAGACCAGCATACATAGTTGTTTTTGCATCCAGCAACCAAAATCAAGCCCTCCCTTCTAGTGGAAACTAAGTTGAAAATACTGTAACCGGACGAAAGGGCCAAGAATACTGGTCTAAACCAGAGGAACTACAACATCAGTAATCAAGCCTCCCTATCCACAAAGAAGAATATAAACAGATGATACTCCCTCACATTCCAGATGTTGCTGAAATCAAACTCCCGTCAGTCTCAACCAGCAAAGCCAAGGGTTAGGGATGATGGGAGCTGGGAGTCTAGCAACATCTTAAAGTTACACAGTAAACAAGCACATGCTTGCACAAGCAAACACAGGTACAGTTCCTTCATAACTTACAAGGTGTATAAATGTGTGGGTATTGGCTTTCAGAGAAGATTACATGCACAGCTTAAAACTACACTTACTTTAATTGTGCTCAGATCCATGGGATGCTTAATGATATCACGGTAATCATGGAGCCCAAGTGCTTCCACATCCACAGGTTTGTAGAAGGGCCAGGCGTAGGCAGCATGCTTCTTAGCAAACATCTCTTTTATGATGCCACTACAATATTTTAATTGCTCTGACACTTTATTACTACTACTCTTCTCTACTACATGCTGCTGAGAGTCTGGAACATCCTTCTTAGGCGGCTTCACTGGTCGGCTTTCTCTTCGTGGACCTGTCTTGGCAGCCTTGGGCTCTGTGGGCAGTGATGAGGACTCATGAACCGGGTCTATTGTTGTTGGAGTTGTAGTGTCTGCTTTCCTCTTCACGCCTTTTTTTGTCTGCAAAAGCAAGCAGACACTCTATGTAGCCTTCTGTTACTTGTGTTGGCTAGATAGGATCAAGTGAAATCCTCACAACTGAGTAAATACTCCGCATAAGAAGGGGAAAACACCATCACAAACACTTCCCACAAAAATGGCATTGGACTAGGTTCACTTTCCCCCATAAGATTTTAATAAAGCTTTTTATGATACATTAAGATAAAAGCTAAATAAAAAGAAAAACAAAGAGAAAAGAACATGCAGAGTCCTCTCAAAGGTAGCTCTTAACCCTTGCCTCACTTTTGATTTCTAGAAAATATGTCTGCTTAACTATAGTTAGGCCAAGTATATAATTCAACGCAAGTATCAAGTTTACGGAAAAAAGAGAAAGCGTTAAAAATCACATAAAAATCTTAATATCCAGTGTAGTGAAATAGGGGGCCAGCAGTGAAGTTGTGTGCCATGAAGTCCCTGGTTCAAATCTTGTCTTAGCCATGAATTCACTAGGTGGCCTTAAGTAAAGTATTACATGAGGTGAGGGGAATGTAAGGCCCTCCTGGCCTCTCTATCTGGACTGTGGGACTTTCCCAGACCACGCCTCCTCACTGGCCTTACTCTGCACCCTTGTCAGCTTTTGTTTGTGTGGAATGTCCTTGGACTATGCTTGCCTGGAAGGACAACATGTGTGTGCGTGGAAGCTTTTGGCTGGAATGTAGCCCATTATACAGAGTTTAGAGTCATGTCTGCTGCTATGCCCACCTTTTCCTTGGCCCCATCTACTACCACCACCATATGGCCCCCAGAAGATTGCTCATGAGGAATGCAGCCCTTGGGCTGAAAAAGACTCCCCACACTTGCACTGTAGTCTCTGCTTCTCATCTGTAATTAGGGGGTCGTAATACCTTGTTCAAACTTTTTAAACAGAGGGCCAGTTCACTGTCCCTCAGACACTATTGGGGGCCAGACTATAGTTTGAAAAAAATATGAACAAATTCCTATACACACTGCACGTATTTGTAGTGCACAAAAAACCAGGAAAAACAAAGAAGGCAGGATTGTTACAGAACAGGTCTGTCCATGCACACCTCTTCCCACACAAACGCCCGGGAGGGGCAGCAAAAGGAGAAACCTGTGCGCTGATGGGTTTCGTCCGCTGCCTCCGAGGAGCCTCCTCTGCAGCACTCACAAGGCAGGGAGACACACAGTCCAAGAGGAACGTGGGGAAGCGTTAATTGCACGCGACTCAGGGCTGGCCGCGCCTGCGAGTGGGAACTAGGAGCTGCAGCTGGGTCCAGGGCGGTCTGCCTCTTGCTTCCCGCCCCTGCGAGATTTCAGAGGGGAAAGAGGGGGAAAGGTACGCCAAGAAGAGCCTGTCTCTGGGGCGGGAAAGGAGCGAGAACCCCCGCTGGAGCCCCTCTCTCTTGGGAAGAACTCAGCTTTTGCTGCCCAGCGGTGCCCTACCTACTAGGCCCTCCAGCAGAGCCCAGCTGCGGCCGAAGTCGGAACTAGAAAGCTTGCAGGCCCCACTTCTCCCGGCAGTGGGAGCGGCATCTCAGGGTCTCGTTGGCTGGGTGGAAGAGGGCAGCCGAGCCAGGCAGAAGACGCCTCGCCATCCCCATGCGAACTGCATTCCAACCATTGCTGTTGCATCTTTATTTTTTTTATTATTATTGGTTTGGTTTGTGTGCCTCAAAGGGACCTCCATTTTAAGTTGGGTGCTTGCAATGTGGGGTTGCCCCACTGAGCCGATGAGTCTGTTTCATGGCTATAAAAAAATTAAGACAGCCGCGGGTTCTGCAGTGGCCGGGTTCGGGACCTTGGCAAACCAGATCTGACCATAGTTTGAGGACCCCTGACTTAGATAATGCATGTGAAACGATGCAAACACTCTAAAGTGCTACATACTTGCCATGAATTATTATTAAACAGACAGCTTATGCTGCCCACTTAAAATGAATGTTTTAATTTCCTCCCCAATGGTACCAAGTTTACATGATAAGAGTTCGTGAACTGATGACATGAAAACATCACATTTTGAGAATTGAATTCATTATAGGTTCATTTCACTTGAATGCTGTTTGGAATGGTGCTGTTCAAGATGAAAATTTTGAATACCCAGTTTTGAAACTGAGAAAGCATAGTTGTCTAAAAATCACGTTACCTATATCTACCTTTACAAAACACTCACCACAATCCTATCCAAGTTTACTCAGAAGTAAGTCCTACTGTGCTCAATAGAGCTTATTCCCTAATAAGTACATTTAGAAATGTTGTAATTGTTATCTGTAGTAGGAAGATCTGGTTTTCACTTGCAAGCTCCATGTAAAAGAGAGAGGTGAAAAACAAGGGTCAAACCTCAGTACTGACCTGACCAATGATAGGAATCAAATATCTAAGAATCTGCACTGGAGAGGCTAAAACTGTATCACACTAAAGGGGGGCAATTTCCCATGAAACGACCACACCAATATAAAAACCTGTGCTAACCATTAACATCAATAATGTCTACATTTAGCCATCAAATACATCATCTAGTGGCTGTATTAATCGGACCTTACACCACTTTTGCTTTTCTCTTTGTTGCTTTTCGGTTCTTCATGGTACAAAGCATGGCTTCCACATGAGGGAGTACATATTGCACCTGGTTCATGGGTGTCGCATTACTTAGCTCAAGCTGACGTACCTGGGACAGTGAGACTGCACAGTTACACATTTCTCTCAAAGGTTTTTAAAAGATGTTCTAGGAAGGTAGCAGAGGACATTTCAACCACTTTATTTCCAGGGAAAGCTCAAGGCTCCTTCACGCTTTTTACGGGAAACACACAATTTTAAGAATGTGCACACGTAGCAGAAATGCCCAGCCAATTGCAGCTTACGTTTGTGTAAAATGAGATTTGTGAAGTGACTCTCAGCATGGGTACACTATTGGGGGGAAGGGGAATCAACTTTAAGAAAAAGATATATAATAATGTAAGTTTTCTCTTTTACCAAATCAGTACAATGATTCATCCAGCCCAGCACTGACAATTATTCATGCCTCCATTTAGGAACATAGGAGTCATACTATTGGACAATCTAGCCAAGTATTGTCCACACTGTCTGGCAGAGGCTCTCCAGGGTTTCTGTCAAGAGTCTTTTCCCAAGTAAAGTATGGATTGACCAGTGAAACACAATGGCAATTCATCCAATTGAAACATATGTTGGAAAGGCAGTTTGGCCCTGATGCTATAGCAGCATCGGAAACACCCATGCTGCTACAAGATTTAATCTTTGCAACAAAAACAAAAAACTCTACACTTTCACTATATAAAATGCTACTCAACAGGAAAAAATATGATTTAGAATATGATAGCCAAAAATGGAGTGAAGAGTTAGGGGTACAGATAACAAATGATATATGGGAGCCAAGTATAAAATAAATAGAAATAGCCTCTATGGATCTGAGATTAAGACTTATTCAACAGAAAATAATATTCAGAGTCCACTGGACTCCAGCAAAACTATACCAGAAGAAAATAACAAGTGCAGACAACTGCTGGAGATGTGGGAGTAAAAAGACGAACTTAGTACATATGTTGATTAACTGCCTGATGATAAGATCATTTTGGTGCGAGGTGAGGATATTTATAGCAAGAGTAATAAAAAGAAATTGTTATTTAGAGGAACTGAATTTAATTCTAAATTATATTCTGGAAACATGGGATATTTCAAGGGGTCCAAAAATAAATAAATGGATGTATCGTGCTATATCAGAAGCAAAAAAAACTTGTTTTGATGAATTGGAAGAGCTGCAAAAAGATTTCATTGAGCATATGGATTGATAATATGGACAGATTAGCTACATACGAACGAACTACATGTCGACACAAAATAAGAATGGATAAATATGAAGAAATCTGGAACTAATATTTAAGCGATAAGGCGGATGGTGGTGGGAAGTAGGGGGAGGAGAGAGAGGTGGAAAAATATTGTTTTAAAAGGTGTAGTCATAGGTATATCAGTGTATTCAAATCTGAATTGTCAAATTGTGTTATAATTATTATAGTTTTTATTGTATGTGTCTTTTGCGGTTGATGTTTGTATGGAAAAAATGATTAAACTTTTTTTTTTTTAAAAAAAGAGTCTTTCCCAGCCTACCTAGAGATACCAGGAACTGAACCTGGAACCTTCTGAATGCAAAGGATGGGCTCTACCACCTAGATTCAACTCCCATTGGTCTCATGCAGAATTCTTTCCCGACCCAAATGAGACATACGAAGGATAGAACTTGGGTCTTCTACAATCGCAGCATATATTCTAATATAGCTCTGCTCTCTAACCTTCAGAGGTAGAAGATTACAGGCAAACAAAATTTAAATGGGGGAAGTCCTAACTCTGCAAGAATGTAGTGAGAGAACCTGAAGCAGAAATATGCCCTGGATCAATATGGCTTTCGGCAAACCATTTCACCTATTCATCTAAAACTGTCACTTGCCAAAATGAAACAAAAGAGCAAAGCTGTAATTTACTCACCTTCATGGGCTGTGCAGCAGTTGGGATAATTGGTTGGTGTGTTTGAATGGGTTGGGGGACAGACGCTGAAGGAGGGGGCGGGGGAGGAGGAGGCTGGGGAGGTGGTGGTGGGGGAAGCTGGGGAGGCACCAGCGTTGGTAATGGCGTCTGGACAATGTGGTCAGGGGTCACAGAAGGAAATGAATGAGTTGTTTGCACCGGCTGAGGATTTGACTGTGAAGCCTGCGTCTGTGGTGGGGATGATGCTTGAGTTGTATTCTGTACCGTTGATGCTCCAGCCTTGGATGTAACTGTTAGAAAAGGAAGCATCGTCATGTGATGTACCCAGCAAACCTCAACACGTGCAAAAACGTAGTTCAAATAGCCCAACCCCCTGCAGGAGAAATCACTGCTATGCCATGGAAATGCTGGGGAGATGTAGGCAAATCAAGAGGCTGCGAAATTGAAAGCCTTGTTACCAGGCTCATTATCTTCAGCTGGCTGATAGCCTAGTTACCTGGTTCATTATCTTCAGCTGGCTGCACAACAGGCTGACCATTCTCAGTACTGCTTCCAGAACTTTTTTTTTTTGCTAGACCTGCTGTGGGCTCCTCAAGGACTTTGAGCAAGACTGGTTGAGTGTGCACAAAGCTGGAGGCCTCCTGGTGCCCCTCCAGGAGAAACCATTGCTATGCCTTGGAGAAAGGTGGGCAAATAGACTGGCTGTGTGACTGGGAGCCTCATTACCTGGCTCATTATCATCAGCTGAGCAACAGTGACTGCTGTGGCTATTTCTGGGACTGCCTTTGGGGTGCAGGGCATATCCCCCCCCAAAAAACCCCAATAATAATGAATTTTTGCTTACCCGTGTTACTGTTTTTCCTTTCTTTATAGAGATTGATGTTTGGGGAGCTAAACTGTACATGAAATTGGAGATACTGATTCCTACCTCTTCTTAAAGTGACAACGTTCTATTTGGATAGCTTTTGGTTTGTTGGGGGAGAGGCATGGGAAGTATTGTTACCCTGTACATTGGAAAACTGAAGAAAGTGATTTCTATACTCCACTTTCCCAGGCTGAGAGCCTATTAGCAGGGATAGATTCTGCCCCCCGCCCCAAAACAAAGGGAGTGATTGATGTCAATGCTTTGTTTAAGAGAAGTTTCTGCATTGTTACTTGCTGACACTAGGTAATTCTCTCTCCATGACATGGATACTATACGTACATGAAACACACATGCACAAACTCAAGTTCCTTTCAAGTACAAGCTAATCCACCTTATTCAAATACACAAGTAATGACACCGAGCATTGGCTAGTCCAAAAGAAAAAAAACCCCTGCAAACTGAATGGGCAGTACCAATATCAATACCTGTTTCCTTCTTCCCCCGTCCTCTTCCTTTTGTCTGGACTATAACGATTTCAGTTTCTTCCTGTGTCATTTCAGATATTTTCTGCAGAAAAAGTTTTTCTAGAGCTTCTGCCATTAAAACAATATCATCCCCTGGCTGAACAAACAAAAAATGTAAGAGGTTACACTCATTCATAACTCTGTGATAGCATGGGAATAACAGAATGACGTGGCAATAAATCTGCCTAATTCGTATCAATGACACCTGGATGTGTTGGGTGCCATGTTCTGGGGTTGTTTCCCAATTCTATTCAAAGCAAACCCACTGAAATTAATGGACCTAAGTTAATCATGTCTATAAATTTCAACAGGTCTATTCTGCCTAAGATGAAGATTGGACACAGACAGCCCTTGATACGGATGTATTTATTGCAATGTGATCTTAAGACGTTGTGCAGAGCTTTTAGATTCCAATTTCCAAGCTGCACACTTTCGGGTTCCCTTTAACCACATCATATTCTACACTGTGTCTAATGTAGTCACTTCTGGGTTCTACTTGACTTTTTCCAAATTAAATTTGGTCATTTCAAGTATTTGCAAGCATACGGCTCTCGCCCCCCAACTCACTGTATTTCATTATATAACTAAAGTAACGTATACACTTATATCTGCTTTTGAAATGGATTCAATAATATTGTTTTGTTGTAGAGATTTATATCTTGTTTCTTTTTGTTGTTGTTGTTTAAAAAAATCTCAAGGCAGACAAATAGAGTTAAACATTTGGAACCTGCTTGTTTTAAATCTCAATTCTGAAAACTGTTAAAAAGTGAAGAATTTTATCTTCTCTAAATAAAGAATACATTTTAAAAGAAATGTTGCTTCTAGGGCAGGTAGAAGAAGGAAAGTACTGTTGCATGAGAGAAAGTCTCATGCAACGTCACAGACACATCATTTGAAAGCCCAAATATATGAAGACAACATACCTTATTATAGATATAACAGTTTGTAAACATTGTATTGAAGTCCTGGATACATTCTTGAGCATTCCAGTAGTAGTTATTCTCCAAGCGTTTCCTTATTGTTCCCATATCCATAGGAGTTTTAATAATTTTATAATAATCCTGTGGCAACAGAGAAGATTAATTATTATAACTGAAAATTTTACCAGGCGTACTGTATTCAAGCCTTTCAGGTAGAAAAGCTTATAAATTTCTCTCTGTCCCAACTCTAATAATTAATATTTAGTAACAATGTCTAGAAGATAAAATAATTTTAAACCTATAAGCATTCAGAGTCTTATCAAAACAACTGACAAAGAGGGAAATCATTCAACATTTGATCCTTAGCTATTGTAATATCTATTTATAACTGCTTCTACACAGTCAGACACATTAGTGCTATATTATTCACATCTTTTACACCCTTTGTGGCTAAAGGCAACTTCAGATGCAACATCCATTGGGGGACTGGTGTGGGGGCATATGGGTAAAAAAAGAATTCAAATCCTTATCCCTCCATAGCTACTTTTAACCAAAGGCAGGATATAGTCCTATCTAGTTCAACCCTCGGTTCCTCTGTGATAAGGGTTTAAAACAGACTTTTAATGTAAAGGACAGACGCACACCTAATGGCCGATAGAGCCCAAATTTCATGACAAATAATATGGAAAACCATCAGCTGACTGCTCAAACAAAATAAGGTATCTGCACCCAGTAAACAATGTAAACCAGAACTTTTAAAACAACATTTCTAATGTTGGGAAGGATTCTGGGGCTGCAGCTCACAATTCCTTTCAATAGTTCTCTTTTCAGACCACCAGTTTAGTTAGCTAGTCTTCAACAACAACAGGACATACTGAAAGACAGGGATTTGCCTGAACTGCATATATAGCTTTAGTAGTCAGGGAATGAAGTAGCCCTGTAAGCATGCTCTGTAACATTTCCAATGGGCTCTGGTAGCCATTTAATTGTTCTTTCTTTGGCAACACAAATTTTCAACAATTTCATGGTCAGAAGCATCCCTGTAGCACCATGCAGTACTGCGAAGCACAGGAATGATGTGGATCAGGCCCATGAAATCAGGATAGGTACACTGGCCATCACAGTTGTTAAAATCAACCTAATATCCTGACTAGGAAGAATACAAGCTGACCACTGACCAAGCATGCAGAGAAATCTATTTAGGAGTGCTCCAACAAAGGAATGTTGTTTCAAACAGCTTGCAAGATTTCTGTCACACTGTCTAAGTAATGCAGCTGAATAAAATGGTCCCTGAGTGGTGGGGAAGCAGCATATCAGTGTCCACATTACTATGGCCTGTTGGTTAGCTAGTAAGTAGACTTTGAGGTCTTATTTTCAGATTTTTCACAGAAGAACCCTTTGGATAACTAACAAGATAAATCATGGAGGCATGGCTAATGTGAGCCAAGTAGTAACAAGGTATCAGAAAAACTAAAAATGAAAATAAAACCTCCCATTTGCCAACCAAAGCAATTATTTAGGTTTGATACGAGGAAAGCTAAGCATCAAGCAAATAAAAATACTCCTATACAATAATTATAAAATAACCTTACCATACAAAAAAATGGTGCTGCCACAATTAATTAATTGAAAACAAATGCTGTGCTATCTGCTATATAGAGCCCAAAGTGATACAACTCCCACCCAGGGGAATTATGTCTACATTAGATACACAATACGGGGAGAGATGTTGGGAACCAGCAATGGCGACTGAAAATATGGATGGGCACGCCAGGTGATAGCCCTTCTTCACCTTCCAGCTGTATCAAGCATCCTTCCTATGAAATTTAGTTCATTGAGCATAACATATGCTGCTCTCATGCTTCATTTTCTCCCCACCCACATGCCTACTCCTTACTCCATATTATCTGCCTTATTTCCCTCACTTTACTGTAGGCCCATTTGATGCCCCCTTGTCCTATAATGTTCAGTACTTTAGAATCTCACCTGACCGCATGCTTTCTTTAGTCCTGTTCCCAGTCCCTTCAACACTTCTGAAGAAACTTTTAACGTTTATGTTTATTTCCGTCCTCATGAAACTACATTTCTATTCCTCTCCTGTTGACCCCCTAGCCAATTCCGCTGCCACACACATTTTTTCCCCACCTTTGGGTTGCTCCTCACCTCCCATCTTCCACAAGCATCCCACCCCATGCCCTCTCACACCACTAAATGATAAGATACATTGCTGCTCCTTTAATTCTCTTAAGTCTATACTTACAGGGAGGTTTAGTTTGACAGCATCCACAGGCTGCTGGAAAGGCCATGAAAACTGATGTTTCCATAGTGTCTTGAGCACCACTTTGAGCAGATACTGCAGCTGGTTGGTCATACGCTTGGGTTTGTTAGGATTTGAGGTCTCTGGTGGAGGTGGGTTATTAGCTGCAGTACTGCCTTGCTGGGTTTGGCCCTGTGCCTGTGTTGTAGACATTTGTGTAGCTTCTAGTCCATCCCCCATTACTGGTAAATTTCTCAGTCTTGTCCCAGGGCCACTCTCCGCAGACATGCTATTGATCCCATTGCATTCTCCACTAGGCACTCTGTAAAGCAAATACAACAATATTAAACATGGGTCAGATAAGGTTAACTACACATTTGTGCACAAAACATATTTTTTTGTGCTTGCTTCCATTTGCACAGAGTAAAAAAAATGAACCCACACAAGTATGTAGCTTGAGTCACCCTCTTACTTTGTGAAATCCTACACTAGGCAAGCAACCAAACCATCAGAGTACCCTGAACAAAGCAGGTGTGGAGTCTTCTAGTATAATCCATCTTTTCTCTTCACCAAACTTTACTAAACATTTCCCCTATGAACAAGATCCAAGGCTGTGCTAGCAGGCATGACAGGACCTTCCTTTCCACTCCCCCGGCCCCAGAAACAGATTTTGGCAGCATCCAAGGGGCTACAGAGAGAAGCAAAGGAAAGGGGAGTTATTTTACACAAGTTCACAGAATCAGCAGGATGCCATAGCTGGATGTTACTCAAAGTCTTTCACAAAAAGTGCCTTTAAAGCATGTTTACCCCACTCCTCAAATGAAAAGACTTTCAGAGTAGCTGAATTAATGCTCAGTAAAGACCTAGGAGAAAAGGTAAGTTTTTAGGAACTGCCCACAAGCCAATAGTAGGCACATGTCCTATTTCAGAGGAAAGGGTGAGTGCCACAATTGAAAAAGTCCTCTTCATGATTGCCACAGGATAGTCGTCGTAAATTGATTTATATACCACATTTTCCACAATATACATCTGTATTCAAAGCCGCACCATTTTTAACAGCTGCAACTAGAGTGAGCATAGCTTTTCCCTTCCCTCTTTCTGGACTGTTGTTTACTCATGGCAAAAATCTCAATTTTTCTCCCGTACAATGGAAACTTAGCTATTGTTCATTAAAGTTAAACTGGCCATATTTGGAACATTGTATTTAGTTCTGGTTAACAAATCTCAAAAGCGTTACAACTGGAAAAGATGAAGAAAAAGCAATAAAATGATTAGGAGATTAGAACACCCTCACTTACACGGAAAGGCTAAAATGCTTCAGGCTTTTTGGGTGGCTACAGTGGGACAGGTTTATAAAAGCTTTCACTATGTCAAATGATGTTTTTCCTCCTCTCAAAATCCAGAATAAGAGTCATTAGGTTAAACTGGCAGTAGATTCAAAATGGTTTGGTGTTTTTTTTAAAGCACTTATTCACATGTCATTTAATTTATAATTTTTTCTACCACACAAAATTATCAAACTTGGGTCCCCAGCTGTTGTTGGACTACAACTCCCATTATCCCCGACTACTGGGTTCTGCTAGCTAGGGATTATGGGAGTTGTAGTCCAACAACAGCTGGGGGCCCAAGTTTGAGAAACACTGCATATGTCCTTAAATAGCAATTATGGGAAACAAACAATAGCGGAGAGCTGTTGCCTTCATGTGCTGCTTCTGAGTTTCCACCAAAGAAAGAAAGAAAGAAAGAAAAGGATGTTGCTGGCTGCTGTTGGAAACAGGAAGCTGAATCAGATAGATCCTTGGTCTGATTGAGCAGGATTCTCACACTACTCCCTTTTCCTTACCATACCTTCAACCAGCATGAACCAGTTGGAAAGTTCAGCAGCTATTACTGTCATATCAAAAAGTGGCATCAATGGTGGAAAAGGTAACAGAAGTATCACTTCCCACTCTTCCACCCTGGTGGTGCAGAACACTTCAAGGGATGGCCCGAATTGTATTTTTAAATTCTTCCTTCATAATGAAAGGTGGGTAAGAAATCGAATAACAAAATTAAATCAGTATCCTCATTTGCTTTTAGGGAAGAAGCAAAAACTGTTTTTGTTCAACAGGTTTCTGCAAGACATTGCTTTTAAGGATGTATAATTGTTGTCTGTTTTCTATTTTTGTTTTTTTATTTGTTACCTTATTATTGTTTTAACATTTGTAAAGCAACATGATTACATTTTAGTAAAGTGATGATAAAATATCAGAAATAATCTGATAACACCATTGCAATTCTTTTATCAAAAAGCAAGAAAAAGGAAATTTTCAGCTTTTGGTCTTAAACAGAAAAATTCTTCAAACACTATCTCAATTTTTTAAAAAATGCTACTTAACTCTTTTTTACGTTCTTTTAGGAAATGCCTTGAACAGCCCAGATCCCTTTTAAACAGTGCAATACACAAGGAGTGTCAGGAGAGGGTGCTAAAAGACTGGAACACATAATCTAGCCCAAATTTCCTAATTCTCTTATCTCATATACACAAGCTATAAAAGCTATGTGTATCATTTATGCATTTGAATTATTATTTCTTAGACTGTTAACATTCTTAGACTGCCCTCTTATAAAGAACATGTAATTTCTAATAAATGACAACTGTGAATTGGTTATTAAAATTACTTGAAATGAAAGAAACTGAAGCAGCGCCCTAAGTGGATCCTGATCAGTGAGATCCAGTATGCCAAAGGAGACATCTGCAACAGGGAGGCACCAAGCCTTCTTGATCTCAAAACCATGGGTGGCTAACCTGTCGTTGGACTACAACTCCCATTATCCCTATCATGCTGGCTGGAGCTGAAGGGAATCGAAGGGCGACAAGTTAGCCACTCTCATGAGCAGCAGCTACATTCAGACATCAAACTATGCTTCAGTGTGACAGGGCCAAGCATTGGTGAGTGTTAGAATCCAATGATGCCTCTTCCCTCTCCTCTGGTTTAGCTACAAGATAATAAACTTTTGCTTCCAAATTCAACAACCCACAGTTTCACATTTTGTCTGAGCATTGCTGTCAACTTTTCCCTTTTCTTGCGAGGAATCCTATTCAGAATAAGGGAATTTTCCTTTAAAAAAAGGAAGCGTTGGCAGCTATGTGTCTGAGCTCTATAATATGACCAGCCAACTTCAAATGATGGGTTATGAAGTTTAACTATCCAGTTTCATTTATTAAATTTCCCAATGAGCCCATGGTGGTTTGTACCTCTGGTTTATCTATATAACACTATGCCAAGATTTTGTAAAATAAAGTAAATGCTAGCTAACTTCTCCTCCCGGCTGGAGGTGATGAGGAAGTATGTGTGTCCGCGACTTTGGTCATACTGCTTCCTGCTCACGAACATAGTGCTAAATCATGGTTCAGCACTGCATGCGAACTGGGCCTTTGTCAGGTTTGACAATATGACAAGGGGTGGTTAATAAAAAGTAAAGTGAAAGCTTTTGAATTTCTACTTGCAACCATGCCACATGAAAAGAGGAGGGAAGTGATTGAACCTAAAGTATGTCTAAACTCATTCCTGACAGGGTAAACCATGGATTACTCTGACCTGTGAATGTAGCTACAGTATTGGTATAGTTTGCACACAGCTCCAGAGCATGCTCCATGTGTAAACTGGAATGAGCTCAACCTCAGGCTTACACACTCCATCCTCCCATATGACTAGGTGGTTTTGCTAGTATTTAGTTTTACTTTCTCATCATGCTGTCTTACAACCAGGACTATGGTTTATCACAGACTTAGTTTCAAAACAAGCCCGAGGCTTCATTCCAGCTTGTGCACAAACCACTAAACCATTATTATCAGTACTGAGGCTCAACTCTACCTTTTGCAAGCTTTCTGCTTCCTTATGACTGCCTACATCAGGCTTGTGAAGCCAAGGTGTTTGTTCCTTGTTCTTTTACTTTGACACTTAGCCTGTGGCCACAATACAACACTGGGAGTTGAATCTACAGTGCAATTTTATGTTTGTTTACTCAGAAGCATGACTCACACCTAAACACAAAATATTGCATACCATTTCTTTTATTGCAATAGAAAATCTTTTTTTTTTTAGTACCTAGTTTACAGACCCCCTGAAGCTCATTCAAGAACCACAGGTTAAGAACCCCTGCCTTACAGAATTAACTACTTTTAGCAGAGACTGAATGAAATTCATACAAATTTGAAAACACTGCTATAAACTGTGAATTAATGCACTTCCACACTCTATTAGAATAGCAAACGTAATGTAAAAAGGCAGGCTCTAGATGCAGAAGTAATTTACAAACAGGAGGTTCAAATTATATAAGGTACAAGTATCATTAATGCATTATGGTTCTCAAAGCAGGAGACAGGCCTTGTGAGACAACAGTTTTAAGGATGGAAAGTTTCTACACTTTGTTCCCTAAACCAATGCACTGTGTTCAGTGGTTTAGCTTTGACTGAAAGCTCATTTTTTCATTATATTGCTTTCTTCTTGGAACTTTTAAATCTTTCTATGTGACAAGATCCTGCTTCCACCCTTTTATTTTGGTCTACTTAGCTCCATACCTGAAATGATGAGCAACTGTAATATTTTATTTAACCTCTGTCAGCTTCAATCCATTTTAAATCAATGCATGTTATGTTTCCCCAACAGTTTTATTCACGGTGGAAAACAGGTACAAAAGAAAGAGATATTTGACACTATTGTTGTAGCATCTCTCCTTTGGCTTTGTATGTAATGATTCCAGCACAAACACACATAATCATTAACTGTGAACACACGGCAGCACCAGAGAATGCAGAAGTTGGCCATCACTGCTCCAGGTCAAGAAAGGAGAGTTGACTGAATAATTACTACATGTTGCCCCTATCAAACTAATGTCCTAGCATGATTACACAGAAATAAGGTTTGGCTAGAAAAGTGAGAAGTGCAACATTTGCCTTGCCTAACAAAAAGCAAAAGGACAGAGGTCAACCTACAAGGTTCCTCAACAGAATCCTGTTTTTCTTAACTATCCCTGGAGCAAGTGCATACAATTACCAAGCTGATTCATCCCCTATGTGCAGATTTCATGGCCAGCAAGAAAATCAATACTTCAGACTAACATGACATTCTTATTGTTACAAAAGGAGGGGTACCATGACATTTCCTGTTATATCCAAGTCGAGAGACTGTAGTTTAATCCTGATTTAATGATTTCAGATCTTGATTTGTAGTTTGAAATCAAACCATTGTCTCTTAAGCCTACATGATTACAAATACATCTACTGCCCCCAAAAGAAAATGGATTGGCATTCTCTTATAAACAAACAGAAAGTAAGGG